ATGTATGCATATGTATATATATATATTAGATATTAACCTCTTATTGAATAATTTTTCCCAACCTATGGGCTATCTTTGTATTGTGGTCACTGTTTCTTTTGAGATGTAGAAGCTTCTTAGTTTAATGTAGTCCTGTTTGTTTACCTTTGCTTATACTTGCGTAGACAGTGGTGTTTCAGCTTTGAAGATGCCTTTAGCTTCAATGGCATGAAGGGTTCGGTTTATATTTTTCTACATGTATCTTATGGATTCAGGTCAGATATTGAGGTCTTTAATCCATTTTGATCTGAAACTGGGCAGCTACATGTAAAAAGTGACCTCAGGCATGTAAGTTTGGAAAGATACCATCCATAGTAGTCCTATGTGACTGCCAGAGGCCCAGGACTGACACAAATGGGAGCTGGGATCCCTAGTTTGTATTGTTTTAGCTGCCGTATCTCCTAAGCAGAGAAAGTGCCACAGTGCCTATGAGACCTTATTTTTCTCAACCTGAGACTACCTGTCTGTTGGGATCATTTGTTTGAGTTGAATTTTTGACAAATTATGTTTTGACTGGAGAAGGACTTGATTTGAATGAGTCCTATGAAGAATTCTTATTTACCTCAAGGACATTTTTTAAAAAATACCCCTCATTTTTTATCTATTGTAAAAGGCCAGCTTTTAAATTTTGTATTGCAATGGGGAAATCACCCAGCAGCTCCCATAATTTTTCCTCAATATGCAAATGATTTTGAGTGGTTGACAGGCAAAAATTTTTTCCCATCTAAATGCCTGATTCAACCTGAGGTTCTGCTTTGAGAAATGCATTGACCCTAAGCCTCTCTCTGCTGAGTGGTTATGTCACAATTACATAAGTCAAAGCCTTTGCTTAAACACAGTTGTCAGCAATAGAAAAATGGTAATACGTTTGAAGTTATGCATTAAATAATGCATTAATATTGGTAAATCACCACCATAACTCCATCCCCACTGAAAAGTTACTGAATTGTAAGTGAGAGCTGTTTACAGTAAGTGAAACAAGAAAACACTTTATATTTTTATTGCATAGGTGTCACATACTAATTCATTTAAAAAACAGAACTCTCACAGTAAATATATAATTGTCTCAACAAAACACCTTACCCAACCCACTGCTGATACTCAGATGAACAAGACATAGATCTCACTGACCAGCCCCCCAAAGCTCACCCCCACGAAGGTCTTCATTGACCCCTCATTCATCTGTTGCCTACCCAACTCCAGACTCAGAGTCCACTGCCACTTGAAATGTCTCTTCTTCCCAGAATGTGACATAGACATAAGGTCTTTTTCTCTATTCCCCGCTGAACTCAAAATACAATTGGGCTCTCTGGAGATGCACCTCAAGAAAGACTGTAGACTGTAACTTATGCCAAATCTGCCCCAATCCCCCTGAAAATCTGGGCATGGAGGTGAATCGGGGGTTCTATTACCTCTGTATGCATGGCACATTATTCCTGTATGTATTACACATTAACCCTATATTGTATTACACACATGAAACAGTGTTTCCACAAAAGAAATTTCAGCATTATAGATTACCAGATCAATGTAAATTAAAACCAGAAGGAGATAGGGAACAGAGAGATGGCAAAACTGGTTGACTTAGGTTCAATCTTCAGCATCCCATACAGTCACCTGAGCACCACCAGGAGTGTTTCCTGAGTACAGATCCAGGAATAAACCCTGATTATTGGTAGGTGCAGCCAAAAAAAACCACAAAAACAGAACAAAACAAAAAAACAGAAGGAGATAGTCCTATATATTTCAACCAGAATGGTTATACAGAAAACACTGACTATAAGAATCACTGGTGAAGAAATAAGGTAGTCATCAGCTTAAACATACATTTACCATATAGGTATTTCAATCCTAGATATGAAAAACTTACATCCACAAATATAAAAAAACATTCATTGGCTTCATTCATAAGAGCCACAAACACCCACCCAAGGGAGAATTTATAGGCAGAGGCATATTCTTACTGTGATTTGCTTCTCAGCCACAAAATGAAATAATCAGCCAATACATCTAACAACACCAATGAATATCAAAAGCATTACATGAATGAAAGAAACCTGCCACAAAAGAATACACAGCCTTTGAGTCCAACTTTATACACTAAATTTTTGTTTTGGTTTTGTTTGTAGGTCACACTTGGCAGTGCTCAGGGCTTACTCTTGGCTCTGAACTCAGATCACTCCTGGTAGGCTTGGGGGAACATATGAAATGCCGGGGATTGAACCCAAGTTAGTTGCATGCAAGGCAAGTGCCCTACCAGCTGTCCTATCACTCCAGCCCCCAAAGTTTACAAATTTATTGAACAAGGAAAACTAATCTTGGGACAAAAAAAAAATCAGGTTAATTGTGACTTCTACTGGGGTGAGTCAAGGTTTGCCAGAAAGGTGTGGAGACGCTTTGGGGGCATATAAAGGTTTTATCGACAAAATGTCCTGTTGATAAAACAGGTCACGATCACGATCACCCTGTTGTTTGTCGATTTCCTCGAGCAGGCACCAGTAACATCTCCTTCTTCCTAGCCCTGAGATTTTAAAAGAGCCATTTCAATGCTCTTTCAGGATTAGGAGAATGAGACCCATCATTGTTACTGGTATTTGGCATATTGAGTACGTTTGCTAGACTCTGCCGTGCGGGCAGGATACTTTTGGTAGCCTGCCAGGTTCTCCAAAGGAAAACATAAGATAATAAGATGTAGTGTGGTTGCAAATGCGGCCGCGTGCTTCCGGCAGCTGGATTTTAAAGTCTCTGCGTCTTGGCCGTTGATGGGACCAACCTGGCGCTGGTGGCAGCTGGTGGGTGTGACGCCTACCTACTGGAAGATGGGGGGTCTGGGTGGAGAAGGCCCAGACCCAGTCCAAGTAGGCTTGGAGACCTCAGCCCCGGGACCAGCATGCCTGGATTCCTCTGCCAGTTCTTTCATGCATGAGGCCCATCCGGACGTGTAGAGAGTAGTCCCAGCATGGCCGTGGCTGGCTCCAGAGGTCCTCAGCTGCTGGGGCTCTGCTCAGGGCGAGGGCAGGGAGAGAAACTCAACCCTCCCCCCTCCAAGGTGAGGACAGCCAGGAATGGGGGCAGAAGAAAAAACAGGTAAAACAGGTAAAAACTAAAATATCAATGAAAGATTCACTTACTCTCTGTATGTTATTGTTAACAATGTTTTTTAAGTCTATGTAGAAAAATTAAATTCTAGAGGCCTGAAAAAGCACTGTGGATAAGGCACTTGCCTTGCACATGAATGACCTTGGTTGGTTCCCTGGCACTCCTGTTGGTTCCTTAGTTACTGCCAGGAGTGATCCCTGAATACAGTGTCAGGAGTAAGCCCTGAGCACTGGTGGAGGCAGCCTAAAAATGAACAAAAACTTTCAATTAAATTCTAAAAATTGATAGACATGGCTAAATACTTAAGGAAAAATATTATTCTGTGCAGCTTTCTTTGAAATATCTCAATAAATAAGAAGGGAACATGGGCAAATTGTGGTCAAATGTCTAGATAGTGGAGGTGTTTACTATAAACTTCTTACATTTTCTCCAGTTTGAATTTTCATAATGGAATATTAGATGAGAGGAAGAGAAGCAGAACATTTAAGATATCTAGTTATACTTTCTTAACAGTAATCAATGCTTCTCTCCATGTTCTCTGCCCATTAAGGAACACTGGAGAGTTAGATACTGGAAAACTGGAAAAGTCACATCAGGGAGGCAAGGAGAGAGAAGGTACAGGGTAGAAAAGCATATGGCAAGTGTGCTGGGGTGTACAGCAGCCAGGAGCAACCAGAGACACAAGACCAGAGAGAGACAAAGAGAGGGAAGAAGGAAGGAAGGAAGGAAGGAAGGAAGGAAGGAAGGAAGGAAGGAAGGAAGGAAGGAAGGAAGGAAGGGAGGGTAAAGAAAAAGAGAGAGAAAAGTATATTATAAGAAACTGATTTATGGATTTTGGACTTTGCCTAGGCATGTTTGAAATCTCCCAGACAAGGGCCTTGTGGAAAGGCAGGAACTCTCATTAACTTGGGGTCACCTCTGCCCAGATTGGGTCAGGTTCACTCAGGGGAATACAGGTAGTGGGGATAATCCTCCTCATTAAATTCAGTTGATGCTGAACTTGAAGGCGAGTAGCAATGCACTGTCCTGGTAACTGCTAAATGAGTGTTTGAACGATTGGGACTGTAGTACAGCCTAACGGACTCTGAAAATTGACTACCACGAAGAGAAGAAATGGAAACTGCTAGAGGATTCTGCTCCCATCTCCATCTAACTGCAGGAGGGGCCAATCTCAGGTGTGCCCAGATGTCTCATCTGGACAGTCCTTTCCTAACAGATTGCAGAAATCCCTTGTTTCTTTTATCTTTTTTGTTTTGTTTTCTCTTTGTTTAGAGAGCATACCCAGCAACGCTCAGGGCTCATTTTTGGTTCTGTGCTCAGGGATCACTCCTGAGAGGCTCACAGAGTGGGGATCGAACCCAGGTCAGCTGCATGTAAGGGAAGTGCCATAGCAGGTGGACTATCGCTGCAACCCACCCCAAGCTTTTTCTTTTTCCTCTGAGGGAGTTTATTCATGACACTACTTAATTTCCCTCCTAAAACATGGATTGTTCCCTCAGTCTAACACAGTCCAGGATTTCTGTCTTCATATTAAAAGATGAAGCTTAGAACTGGATCACTTGTCCCTTTCTCTCTCTCTTTTTTCTTTTCTTCTATGTGGTTTATCATTTTTTTTTAATTTTTATTAGTGAAACACAATGAGGTACAGTTGTAGACTTACAAATTTTTGTGCTTGGGTTTCAATTATACAACGATCAAATACCCATCCCTCCACCAGTGCCCATTTTCCACCACCACGGATCCCAGTATTCCTCCCACCCCTCATCCCCCCCATCCCACCCTGCCTCTGTGGCAGGGCATTCCCTTTTGTTCTCTCTCTCCTTTTGGGTGTTGTGGTTTGCAAAAGAGGCATTGAGTGTCCCTTTCTCTTTTTATCACCTCCCAGTTAAAAATGCTTACATCTCTTAATGACCAGCATTCGCTTAGATGTGCAGTTGGGCTCGATGCATTCAAGTCTCAACACAATCTTCTTTGTAGTTTTAGCCTTTTTCCGGAAAATAAGCTTAGTTTGATCTCTGTAACCACTCTGTTTCCTGTCATAATGACGCTTTCCCTGGGCATACAGAGAATCCTTGCCCTTCTTGTACTGTGTGATTTTGTGGAGCTGATGTTTGCCACATTTCTTACAAAAAGTTTGGTGGGTTTTCAGTACGTTCACCATGCTTTGCGGCAGCGATGTCCATGAGGAAAGCCACCCCAAGTTTTTTAAATCACCTTCTAATCTGCTTGCTTTGCCGATTTGTCTTCCTGGCTTATTAACATTGTGAATAAATCAGAAATAAGTCTCAGAATGAGAGAGAGAGAGAGAGAGAGAGAGAGAGAGAGAGAGAGAGAGAGAGAGAAAGGTGTCTATGGTAGAGGCAGGCTGGGGGGAGGGGGCAGGAGGGAAACTGGGGATATTGGTGGTGGGAAATGTACACTGCTGAAGCGACGGGTGTTGGAACATCATATGGCTGAAACCCAGTGATAAACAATTGTAACTGTAAAATTAAAAAAATTTTTAATTTAGTCATAAAATTTACATACAAGTGGTACAACATGGAAAGTATCATGCTAAGCGAAATGAGTCAGAAAGAGAGGGATAGACATAGAAAGATTGCATTCATCTGGGGGACATAAAGTAACAAAATAGGATATTAATACCCAAGAATAGCCGAGATCAGTACCAAGAGGATTACTCCATGGCTTAGAGGCCAGCCGGACACTCTAGGGGAAAGGGCAGCTCAGATAGAGAAGGGAGCACCAAATAAAGGGTGTTTGGAGGATCCTCCCAGGAGCGGAGATGCATGTTGAAAGTAGACTATGGACTAAACATGATTGCCACTCAATGCCTCTTTTGCAGACCACAACACCCAAAAGGAGAGAGAGAACAAAAGGGAATGCCCTGCCACAGAGGCAGGGTGGGATGGGGGGGGAGGGGTGGTGGGAGGGATATTATCCATGGTGGTGAAAAGTGGGCACTGATGGAGGGATGGGTATTTGATCATTGTATAATCGAAACCCAAGCACAAAAAATTGTAAATCTACAACTGTACTTCATGGTGTTTCACAAATAAAAAGAAAAAAAAATTTAAAAAAATTTTTTAATTTAAATAAAATGTGGCCCAGAGCTTACCCTTCATGTGAAACTTTGATTTCTGAGATGACCCAGGAAACCCCAAAACCTGAATACCAGCAGAGAGCAGAATGAAGTGTTGGTAGATATGTGGGGGGGGGGGGGGGGAGGGACGTGACCCGGAGGTGCCATTCCAAGAAGATGTTGCTGGATAAGAATCTCATTTCCTCTGTGTCTTGTGAGAAGATTAGCTTAGTTCTGGGAAACCAGCCCCTAGGTTTCCTTTGTCCTTGAGGCTGTGCTGTCAGAGGACATTCCCCCCCTCCCCCCATCCCCAGCTCCCAGAGTCGATTTGCAGCAGAGGCCAAACAACTTGTTCATAATGTGAGGGCAGAGAGTGACGTTCAAAAAGCATTAGCGATCTTAAACGTGAAGTAGAACAAACTGGGCCGGCTTCTGCCAATCATTCTGGAAATGAGAGAGGGACCCCACTCCCGGGATGGGGAGGCATGAGTCTGCAGAGGGCCAGCTGGCTCAGTCTTTGCAAGACAATAGACGCAAGGCCACAGAGCACCAAGTCCAACCTGGCTTTCTGCAAAGAGGTGTGGTGATGTTATTGCCTCTAGAACAAAAAAAAAAATCAACATCCCAGTGCCCTAGTGGGAGTTAGGAAATTAGAATCCCCATCAGATGGATGATAAACAATTTAAAAAAAAAACTGCTAAGGGCCAGAGAGATAGTACAGGGGTTGGCATGTGGCTGATTGGGTTTCAATTCCCAGCATCCCATATAGTTCCCTGAGCACTGCCTGAGTGAGTGATTCCTGAATCCCAGGAGTAACCTCTGAGCATCGTCAATTGTGGTTCGCCACACACCATCCCCCAACAAAACCAATGCTCATGATAATTACATAAAAGTGCAAAACGTCCAATTTGTCTTGAAGTGACAAGATACACTCTTGTTTTTCTGTTCTGTGAAGTTTTCAGACTAATATTCAACATGAGTACCTGTACGTGTGTAAAACATCCTTTCCATTTTCATGGGAAGAACAGGGAGTGAATGTGACTTCAGATTCTGCATGTTGCATTTCGGAGTGGACTTCTGAGAACTGGTTTTATAGTTTTTACAATATGGAAAAGAAATTAGGGGGCCATGTAGCTCATTACAGCTTCATGTGGTTTCATGCCTGTGGGATCCCTAAAACTAAACTTCAACTGGGGCCCACGAAATCCATACTACATTTTTAAATTAACTGGCAGGAAACCTTGAATGCACGTTTTGTGTCCAATTTGGTTAATAGAAACCAGATGCAAAATTTCAATCAAACTTCCATTGTCTAGTGTCTGGTACCCATTATCCGTTTGCTCACTGAGCTAAAAATATGTGACTTGTCCACATTCTTGCTGTTAATACCTTGTATGCATTAGTAACTGCCAAGATATGCTCTTTCTATGAAGTAAAGATGAACTTGCAAGCATTAATGTGGGAATGCAAGAAGCGCCTCATTGTATTTTTCCAAAATTGAATGAGATCTGACTCAAAATCTCCATCCCACTCAGCTTGTGGAAAATTCATTCTCTGTGTTATGGGAAGTTCCTCCTAACTGTGATAGATTACAAGGATATTCTGAGGCCAGTGCTGAGAGATTTTGCATCTCCACAGCTCACTGGCCTGGGGTGGATATCTTTCAACAATCCAGAAGGATTGTTAGAGTACAAGACTTACACACATCTCCCACATATCCATGCTTCCTAGGCTTTATACAGCACTTCCTCAGACTGAAAGTCACCTCCTTGACCCAAGAATCTAGGCCTTCTATGCCTGTATCCCTCCCCCTGGGAAAGCCCACAGTGTCCCATTCATACCATTTAAACACACACACTCAGGGCTAGGGTGATGGTACAGTGGGAATTGCACTTGCCTTTGTATGTGGCTGACCAGGTTTGATTCCCAGTGCCACATATGCTTCTATGAGTCCTACCAGGATTTGAGCTCTGAGTGCAGTAAGCCCTGAGTACTGCTGGGTATGTCCCAAATGCCAAAAAATAAAAATAAAACACACAGATGCACATGCAGTATATACAAACCACAACCTCTTCTTTGTGTTTTATTTCCTCCCATTCTGTTTATTCTTATGATTTCATCTTATCGTCTTGTCAGTTTATTCATGTGTTTGTTTTATTCTTTTAGTAAAGACCTAAATGAGAAAGCAAAACTCTAAGTCTATAATGTGCTTATGGGTTTTCTAAAAGGTATGTTCATTTTTTTCTGTTTTAAGCTTTGGGTCCTACGTAGTGGTACTGAGGGCTGCTCTGGTCTTGGTGCTCAGAGATCATATCAAGAGGTTCTGGGGGACCATGCAGTGACAGGTATTGAACCTGGACCTCCTGTATGCAATGCATGCACTCAGGCCTATAAGCGCTCTCTTTCTCTTTCTGGCCATGTTATTTAAATATAAATAATGTTATTCCATTTTTACCTATTTTCCCATCTGATTACAATAAACTGATTTGAATTGAACTGATTGAATATTTCTCAGTATTGGAGAGAATAACATTCTGTCTTATTAGCATGCCCTTCCTGTAAATTTCTTGAAATATTCTTTGCTGATTTTTCAGTTTTCTGTCTTAATCTTATTGATTTTTATTCATTTACATGTCTGATTTGCATTTTTTAAATTTATACAGCAGAAAACACTGTTTAACTACGTTTTATGCAGTAGTTTTATAATATTTTATTATAACATGCTTCAAATAGCCTTTTTTTTTCAGAAAAGGGCAATATTCAGCACATTATTTTGCCTTATGGTTTTGTTTACAGGTTATCCTGTTGTCTTATCTTATTGTGCATATTCTATTATTACATATAATTTGTGGGCATAATACAAAACAATGCCTGTTTTTTCTGCATTTGAAATATACCTAGATTGTCTATTAAATATTTTGTAATTTTATAACATTATTGAAAAATACAACCACAGAGATAACAAAAAAAATTCAAACAATTGTGAAACCTTTTGTTTCCGTGAATTGGGAATATTAAAAGAATTACATGAAGTACTGATGGGGTCTGTCCTGCTAGGTGTTGAGATACAACAGCTTCAGTAAAATCTGAATACAACAGCTTTAACAAAATCTTAGGAATCTGAATGGGGGGTTGGGGACTATGTACGTGTGTGTGTGTGTGTGTGTGTGTGTGTGTGTGTGTCTATGAAAGCATAGGGGCCACACCCAGTGATACTCAGGGTTCACTCCTGACTCTGCACTCAGGGATCACTTCTGGCAATGCTCAGGTAAGAGAAAGTTGCATCTTAAATTTATCAGCTTGACTCTGAACCCTGTCTCACTCTGTGGCTCCACATTACCTGCCCCACACAAGCTATCTCATTTTCACTCCTGAAACCCGCACATACATCCTTTCTGCACTAACAATCAAGTTCAAAATCCTCAGGAGCCCACAAAGCCACAGCCATCCTGGTCCTTCCTCTGCCTCCATCTCTGACCATCAGCAGGCCAGTCCTTCCTGTGCTCCTTCCAAGCACAGGGCTCTTTCCAGCTGGATGGCCCCTTCCCCTTCCATTCCAGGATAGCCTTGAGTCCCCTGGAGATCTTTGTAAATGATACTTCCCAGGGAACTGTAGCTGCTCTTCTCTGTGGCCTCAGCATCTTGTGCTGTTCCTCTGAAGCACTTACAGGTCCCTGCATTTTATATCTTGATCCTTTAGTTCATACCAGAACACAGTAGATGCTCAATAAATGCTTGCTGAAATAATGGCTAAATCACAGAATGACCTTCCTTTCCTCGCCTCCTCTGCCATTCTTGACGCCAGCTGCATCCAAAGTAGGAGGCAAAGCTCTTCCCTCTCATAGGCTCAGACTCATGGCCATCTCGACTGTGAGGGCTATTCACGGGAAGATTTTACCTTTCCAGATCTGTAGCAGATAAAATTGAGCAGAAAGGAATTGAAACGAGCCCTAAAGACTTCAATATTCATCTTCAACTACCCCATAAAAATAGAAATGCAAGGATATATATGAGTTTAACAGTCTAGAAAAGGCACGACTCTGGAAGCAGTAAATAGACTAGCAATCATCAGAAATGGGAGT